CCAGAGTTGATTAATTGGAAGATAAATAGGTAGGCTGCTGCTGATTCAGGAAGATCCCAATCGTATATAGTATTCATCCTTTATACCAAGGCTAATGTTTTCTTTGATAAGATAAAGTTTTACTTACATTTAGATAGCACACAATTTAGGAGAGAGTGGCTGAAATGATGATTTTACAAATCTAAAATGTTAAATTGATGACCACATATTGATTAAATTTTAACAACATTACCGATTAAATATGAACAATATACTGATAAATCTCAAAAATAATTATTTCAACAATTAAAATTTTATTTTCATCAGTTCAACCTGTTTCCCTAATTAAATTAGTGCCCATGAAACAGTTAAATGGTCATTTTAGCCAACCCAAGATTGCAAAATCAAGCAGAGGACCTCTAAAATTAAACTGAAACAGAAATATAAACTTGCAAACACATGCAAGCTGATGTGTTTTTTTGGTCAAAAGCGCTGATATGTTGTTTTTGTTGGAGTATGAGTATGAATTAGTTATTAGAGCCGGCTATAGTGATTCAAATTGATATGGAAAAGTCTTGTTTGAAAGCAAGAAGTTTGTCCTGTTTCTTATAATAATTGAACTTTATATATTGGAACTGTAATACACTCATCATATTTATAATATGGATTCTTTGATGCTTTCCTATGATTTTAATATACAGGGGAATCATTACGATTGTTCTGTTAGGGTGCGTTTGGTACGTGGGACGGGACGAGACGGAACGGGACGAGGCGTTCCGTCCCGCGTTTGGTGCGCCAAAAATGGGTGGAACGGGCTGTTCCACGGGACAGATTTTGGGTGTTTTTGCGTTCCACCTCCCCCCTGGAACGGGTTTGTTCCACGTCTGTGGAACACAATGTTTTACCATTTTAAGACAACTATACCCCATGTCTTTTTCAAAAATTACACCTTCGTTCCGTCCCGTCCCGTCTCGTCCCGTCCCGTCCCGTCCCGTCCCGTCTGCGTACCAAACGCACCCTTATAAAAAGTTGACACTCCTGTCACAAAAAATAAGTTTATTATTGGACCAAAGGCATATTATTTGGTTGAGCATCGTGTATTTGTCAGAAAAAGAAGCTTACTATTGAAATCGGTTATTCTTTGATTTTTAAAGGTGAGATCATTTATTACGGTTTTTAATTGGAAATTTTATATTGTTCACTTTAACGAAAAACCATAATTTTACACTAAAAAGTCAATCCTGATACTATTCACTTTCCTCTTTTTTATTTTGCCCTTATTATTAAAACTCAAAATTATCAAGTCATTTTCATTGATTTTCATTCTTTAATTAGGTTTTTGCAATGTTTACTTCAATAAGCAAGGTCTGTCCCAGGACAGTACGACTTAAAAACATTCTTTTTGAAGAAGCAGCTAAAAAGTTTGCTAAAATTGAAACTTTTCCTAACTTGTGTTTTACACTCATCTCCAACATTTGTTGTCATTCCGCTTAGACTTAAAGCAACTATATATAGTTAACTAAACAACTTTATCATACTCCAACAAATATAAAACATTAAATTCATTATAATTTCAGAAAGACGTTCATGGATAGTTCATTTCATGTGATAAGGTACTAATTATTGATCAATAAATTTCTTGCGAGAAGGAGAATTTTCTCCTGTTAAATTAAGGTGTGCTTAAATTTTACATTCTAACAACATAACATTATCTTTGAAAGAAAAAACATTACTTAACTTACCGGCCACTGCAAATTCAAGGGGAAGTTTTTGTGGGGGTGTCTTGAAGGAGAACTCGGGGCCTGAACCTCCACACCTATAGAAGTATGTAGTGGCAGGCTCCAAGGGACCAATGGTAACATGGTGGATCTTCCCCGAGTTGTAGGAAAAGTACTTGTATGATGTGTGTTCTCCAGTTGCCTTCCCATCATATATCCCAGATGCCTTCCCATACTCCACAAGTGATTTAACATGCTTGCTTTCAGTAACCCATGAAATTTTCATATGATCTGTTCCCACCAGTGAAATATGCACCTAATACAAAGTCAAGAAATTATAATAGTCGGGTGTTAACTGTTTTTCTGAGCTAAAAACTATAGCATGTTTTGGTCTTCTTCCCCATTACTTAGAAATAGTGAGTCACCGGTTCATGTACAAGATAATATCATTACCGCATGGATAATTAGACATATAAACTGTTAGAATCCCCATAAACTGTACCTGTTGAGGGTCCTCATCGGAACCAGTGTGGTGGGTGAATATTACTCCGCGAGGAGGTTGTCTAACAAAATCATCATCTTGTGATTTTAGATGAGGGAAGAGACAGATGATTAGGAGAAGAGAGAATACATGAAGATATAATTTCTCCATTTTTGCTTTGTGAGAGCTATTGGATACGAATATTTCCAGAGCCTTGGAGAGATATATAAGAGGGTTGAGGGGGTTTGAAAAAATGGATAGAATAATAAGATTGCAATGGCGTGTAAGTATGGCAATTCTTGCGGCAAAGCCACTGACGTTCTAGGATTCTCAATCTTTATATCTATATGATAGTTCTATCCAGCATAAATTATTAATGCAGATTGGGGTGTGCTTGGCTCTATTCTTAATTAACTTGGTTGATATCATTAGTTTAGTGATCATTTGAAGTAAGGCCGAGTTTAATTGCATGAGCTAGTAACTAAACAAGATATTATACGAAGAGATTGAACCTGGCCGGCCCTAGACTTACAGGGCACTCCCTACACATGACATTTGATAAATGATTATACGCAGTACCATATAATTAAGAACATGTCCTTTGCATGGACTGGACTATAGGGGTTTGTTTTACCCACGCCAAAGGCAAAAAATAGAAAGAGAAAAAAATACGGTGGGCAGGTAAATTTTAGGCTTTAAAAGTCCTCGATTCAAAACTTATGACAAGATGTTGCTAACTTGTTTAGGTGACTTGCCAGCAACAAATTTCCTTCATTGACGTGCAGATACATTTTATTTCCAAGCACTCAATCCATTTTGAAAAGTAGTATTAACAGAAGATATCTCAGTTGAAGATACCTTTGTGCTATAATTATTTATCATAATGTGCGATATTAAGAAACATATTGCATATTCTTCAGTAGATATATAATATATCAAAATGTCTTTCAATGAGAGCAAATTTTGTAAATTGGACCAGATCACCAAAAGTGAGAAATTTTTTAGTGTACTATGAACATTGTCACATGGTATAATTATTACATTCAAATTATAGAACATGTCTTTTTTATTATATTCTAAATATATGTCAACCATATATTATTCACCCATACCATAAAACGTAGAATGATAACATCACGTAGCAGTATTTTAAGTACACACAAACATAGCTACCTCGAATAACATCCCTTTCTTTGTAAGGTTTGATGTGGAACGTTTTTAAAGCTAACTTTTAATACATGTTGTATGTTTATGTGTTAAATAATGCAGACCATTAATCTGAAATAGTGATCCAATCAATGAAAATTTGAATGAATGGTTTCAAATTCATATGACATTTTAAAATATGAAAAGAACATTGCTCATCGATGAATCAAAATATTTATAGAAGCGGAACTGAGCATAAGTGGAACTGTGGAAGAGCTTTTTTTAGAGGTTAAGCTGAGTTTTTTTTTTTCGGTCAATTAGCTTAAGCTGAGTTTGAGCACCTCGCTACTTGGCTTGACTAGGCTTCTTTACACCTATCTTAAGTTTTCTTTTCTTTAGAAAAGTTAGAAAATACTCGTTACCATGAGGTGATCTCAAATAGTATTCTATCATTTATTTGTATCTTTTTTAGAGAAAATACTCATTACCATTTGAAAAATTATTTCCAAAAAATGTTCTTTTTTTGTCATTATATATATTTGACACTATTTTTACTTAAAATTTACAAAACACTAAAAATTGTTGATTGTAGTCACAACAGACTTAAAATTTTGTTTACCAAATGCTAGACTGTTTTTATCACATCTGACATCTCACAGGTACTTTCAAAAGTGATTTTCTCACAGCACAAAAATGTCAAACTAAGCTAAAGAATCACTCTATTGGAAAAGAGGGTTAGGCTAACCCATATAATTGGTCATCAACAATTTAGTATTAAACTCATTATTTGCAAAATTAAACTTAAGTCTTCTCACATAGTCACTTACATGTCACTAAAACAGTGGTACTAGCCGCCCATTTTTAGAAGGGAGTAGAATTGTTTTAGAAGGAAATAGTCTGTCCATTTTAGAAGGGAAATCAATTCAGTATAATACCTTATAAAGCTCTGACAAAAATCTGAAGTGTGGATTTGCTCATGTATTATTATTATGAACCTTTTTAGCATAATCACATTGAGAGCTGATTTGTTTAGCTTTATACTTCTTTTTTTTAATTTTTTGTCATCAGATTGAATAAATTAAATAAAAATACATAACAAAATTGAATAAAAGTGTGTAGAAGGAAAAAATGACGCGTCTTTTGTCATTTTTCAAATGTTTTATGAGTATGCAAGTTAATTTCTTCTTCCATTTTTGAATTGAAATACCTTCTAAAGCACCCTGTCATCTTTAAGCATTAATGGATATCGCACATCCTTCCTCTCATCCATCCATTGAGATATTGAAAATGCTAAATCTCCACGGTTCCAACTTGCCAAATGCCGACATACATGGGATCTGAAAAAATCCTGAGGCAATGAAACCGTGGCCGCAACCACCCCCCCCCCCCCCCCCCCTCTTCTCCCACAATCACCAAATCGGCTAAAGCATTTTCACACTCAAAATATGAAAAACCCATGGAACGATTCAAATTTGCTTAGCTCATGTTATGCCTTTTGGACACTTGTCCAACTGGGTGACGTCCCAAGTGTCAATACTAACCGCGATGTGTTGTTCCGATGATAAATTGACAGTATCTGTTCTATTTATTCGAAGAAGAGGAAAGAAGCAGACATTCGCTTTCTAGATCATTTTCTGGTGAAATTAGAGTTCGAAGCGTAGTCTTAAACGTTAAACATGGCGGACGTCCAACGCCGGCCGGGACTGGTTCTCTTTGTTTTTACGTTAATGGGGTTGGCTTTCCCGGTGTTGTTTGGTGCATTTGTCCAGGGGTATAATCGTCCACCGTCTCGCAAGAACCTCTACGTCCCTGCGGATGATCCTGGTTCTGCTTCTCCACAACAGGTCCTGTTCATTTATTCTTTTTTTTCACTTACTGATACAAGTTTTTTTTTTCTTCTCTTCCCATAATTTAATTTAATTTTTTTAAAAAAATGAATAACTAGTTTTAATTTTTTGGGAACTTGAAATCAAAATTGTAGGCTTGGACAGTGGTGAATGAGAGGCCAAGATGTATATTACCAGAATGAAGAAATCTGTTTCATTTCTTCAATAATTGAAAACGTTTTTAAAGAAAATGTTATTGGGTTTCAAAATCATCTAGAGTGTCTCCTGCAATAACCGTCACTTATGTGTTTTTTTGTAGAAAACATTATGAGAGTTTTTGCGAAATTTTTACATATTTATTAAAAATTAATTTCATAAATATTTTTTTACTTCCATGAATATTTTTAACAAAAATGGTTTAGTCAAATGAATGGGGACGGACATCTGTGACACGAGCAACAAATGATGAATATTAATCATAAAAAATAAAATATAAGATTTAACGGCTCCAGATCAAATGACGAATATTAAATAAATAAAAATTGAAATTTAAAACATCACGCTCTTATTAGATGATCCATATTTAAATTAATCCTAGCTAATATAATTGCTAATTATGTGCACATGAAGGTGCATATTTCAGTAGTAGGCGAGGACAAAATGAGGGTGACATGGATCACAGACATCCCTAGTCCGGCAACAGTGGTATATGGAACATCTCCAGGTGCTTATGAAAGCACTGCAACTGGAAATACAAGTTCCTACACTCATGGAATAATATACACGTCTGGGGATATTCAGGACGTCGTTATCGGTTCGTTGAAACCCAACACGCAGTACTACTGCCGCTGTGGCTCCTCTCATTCGGATCCTGAGTTCAGTTTCAAAACCCCGCCTGCAGCATTCCCTATCACATTTGCAGTCGTAGGTATGTGTAAATATTTAGTAGCACATATATGCTTAATTAAACAAAATTAAATGAATGAAATTAACTATCTACCTACATGCCTGGCAGGTGATCTTGGACAAACTGAATGGACCTCCTCAACCCTCCAACACATAGCCAAAACAAACCACGACATGTTATTACTACCAGGAGACTTATCCTATGCAGACTTGCGCCAAAGTAAATGGAACTCATTTGGCCCTCTGGTGCAGCCACTGGCAAGCCAACGGCCTTGGATGGTCACACAAGGCAATCACGAGGTCGAAAAGATCCCGATCTTCCACCCGCATGCCTTCACCGCATACAATGCGCGGTGGCACATGCCATATTAAGAGAGCGGATCAGACTCAAACCTCTACTACTCATTCAATGTAGCCGGAGTTCATGTGATCACATGTTGGGGTCGTACACTGATTTTGATCTTAGTTCTGCACAGTATCAGTGGGTTGCAAGCGAATTTGGGAAAGGTCGACAGGGGGAGGACGCCGTGGATCGTCGTGCTTATCCATGCTCCTTGGTACAATTCTAATAAAGCTCATCAGGGTGAGTCTGAATCTGTTGACATGAAGGAGGCCATGGAAGATTTGCTCTATCAAGCTAGTGTTGATGTGGTTTATGCAGGGCACGTACATGCCTACGAGCGTTTTGTAAGTTTTTTCCTTCACTTAATGTACGAGTAATGTTAGAGCCTATCACATTTTGCACTATCTAATTAAGTCATTTATTTTATTTTTAAATTTGTTATTATTAAGTGGGGAGAGTTCACAACTATTACAATAGTTTAATTAGGAGAAGGAGGATTTCGAATCCATGGTGCATAGATGAAAACCCAATACCCTCTAGCAATGATCACATGCAAATTAAGTCGTTAATGAACAGAGCATGACACACTAAAAAACATGTACTTAATCATGTCTTTTGCCACATAAGTAACTACCTTAGCGAATCCATTGGTTGGTTATACTACGTAGAAAGTTATGTTGATACACTAACTAGTTAACAAGTTAATATTACGATGATCACTCGTTTTGAGCCTACTACTCTTACAAAAATTCACCTATATCTGAAATCAATTCGGATTGCTTTTAATTACTTGATTTGGTCGAATATATTACTAATAATTTTATTTTACTTTGTTGTCTTAGACTCAGCGTTTACAAGGATCAAGCCAATAATTGTAGTCCAGTGCATATTACCATTGGAGATGGTGGCAACCGTGAAGGCCTTGCTAGCAAGTAATTAAGTTGGCTTAATTAGTTGCAGTTCTTTCCATCGGTTCCTTAATTATTTCATACATTTTTTGTTAACTACATTGCAATGGTTGTGGATTGAAGGGAAAAACAAGGAGAAAGGATGAACAGAGAAATATGAGAGAGAGAGAGAGAGAGTTTAGAGAGAAAAATATGTTTTGTATTAACTAACACAAATGAAGATTACACATACTGTTTATATAGAAATCCTAACTACTTTAACCAAATACTAACTACCTAACTATATTACTAACTGTATTACATTTTTACCCTTAATACTCCCCCTCAATCTCAACTGGGGAAACTCAGTTTGAGATTGGAAGAATTGAGACATGGTAGTACTGAAACTGTAGATTTAGGGAAACCGCCATTGGATTGATACCCAAACATATGTCCACATGTAGCACCTTGACTAGAGTCAACACTTTGGATTAGCCTGCTTGAATCAGAGCTCTCCTCCGCACTCTGCTCATTGAGGTCTAAAGCTGATGATGCTGCAACACAGAAGGGTCATGAAAGCTCATCTGAAGATGTGCAAAAGCTTTCAGATGCTTTAGAGTTTCAGGAAAAATGAGATTATGCATGCCCAGGACAAGTTGCGGTCAACACGTGCAAAGTTGGCTGTTTTGGAAGGAAATATGGCAATGGCAATAATCGAAGCGCAAAAGATTGTGAAGGAGAAACAAAAAAGGATTAATGATGCTCGTAGGGCCTTACGACTTCTTCGTACTGCTTGCATAGGTTGGCCGAATTCAGCCTCAGAAGTTCTCATAGCTGGATCATATGATGGTTGGACGACCCAGAGAAAGATGGAAAAGTCGCGTACAGGAATCTTCTCTTTGTGCCTTAAATTGTATCCGGGCAGAAACGAGATCAAGTTCATTGTCGATGGTAAATGGCGGATTGATCCCTGACGCCCAATTGTTCGCAACAACGGATACGAAAACAACGTCCTGATCATAACATAACACACACAAGTGTACCCCATGACCTCTTTGTAGCTGTTGACCAAAAACCTCTATCTGTCATTCTTCCACTGCCTTACAAATAAAGACACCCTGTATTCCTTTGCCTCTATTATGAGTTTTACACAAGAACAACCTTCTATAAAGTAGTTGTAGCACACCCTTATGCCGGTATAACAACTTCTTACAGGATTACCCTTCGTGGGATTCACTGTCAACAATCTCATTCAACTTGGCTTCGGCCTTTAATATTTACAAAAACAGAAAATTAACAAACTATAGTGTGGCATCGGCCTTAACTATAGCACCACAGGATCGCCCTTTATGGATTTTACCAAAAACAACTTCTTTGAACAATGGCATCGGCCGTCACAATTTCAACAATTGAAAATCAACATCTATGTAGGATTACCCTTTCGTGGGATTTACCTACTCATATCACAGAATTACCCTTCGTGGGATTTACCGTTTATAACTTCTTCAAACGTCATCGTATAACCAGACTTACTGTAGATTCATGCTAACAACTGAGTTCGTTAGACTCTGAAATTATAGGCTGAGATAAGGGAAAATTACTGCACAAACTCCTCAACAGAATTGCAGAAAAACAGTGAAGCAGAGAGACAAGAATTGGATACCATAAAAATTGCACAGTTCATGGTTCGAAAAATCCAGCAAACCAAATGAAGTCCATGACAAACACTGATCTTGAAGCAATGAAGAATCTTGAACCCAAATATCAGAAACAACTTGAAGAACCCAGAAAAGACGCACTAGAAAGATGATTTCATGCTTTTAAATCTCAAACAAATAACACAAATAGCTTCAAGATTGCAGGAAGCTTACCCAACAGAGTTCCCGTGGCCTCATCTTCGAGAGCCATATTTCTTCTCTCCGAATATTGTTGCCGATGGAAGGCTGAGCCAAGAAACCAAGAAATCACTATTGACCTTTCGTCGAACATATAATGTGCAAGAATGCACTATATTACTGCTTCCAATTCGTCGCTTCATCTTGAAACCCAGAGCCAGAGGAAAACCCTAGAAACAATTAAATTCTTGAAGATCCAGATGATTGATCCATGGCGTGAATCAGAACCTGAAGAAACCAAGCGAACCCTATTTCAGAAAAACCTTCCGGAAACGATTGCAATTGGGTTTTGGCGATTTTGTAGCAAGGTCAGACTTCGAAGTAAGATTTTAGACCCAATCAACCAAATGTCCCTAGTACATAGTGACCAGATGTGATTCGTAATACCGTACCATATCTTTTGACCAACACCCCTGTGGATGGCATCAGCATGGAGAACCACATCGCAGACTTCAAAGCAAATATCTCTCATGTTTTCTTCTGCCAATGCACCTTTCTTTGGCCATTGATTCGAAATCAGAAGGGAGAAAGCTCTGATCTTATGATTTTGTCCAGCTGCTGTGAGTCGGCGAAGACTACTGCGTAAGATCCGAATGCGCGTATAAGTACCCAGAAGATGAACGGCGGCAAAGAGCCTCAGTTCTTGGAGGTGGTGACGGCGTCGGTGGAGAAATCTCCAAACCAGAACAATCGAGGAAAAATCAACCTAAGCTAGAGGAAGCACCAATTAATGAAAATTTGAAGAAAAACTAAACTAGGAAAAAAAAATGTAAACTACTACAAAGGGAGAAACCACCAGAATCCATGGCGTGAGCCTGGTGGCTCTGATACCATGTTAACTACATTGCAATGGTTGTGGATTGAAGGGAAAAACAAGGAGAAAGGATGAACAAAAAGATGAACAGAGAGATATGAGAGAGAGAGAGTTTAGAGAGAAAAATAGGTTTTGTATTAACTAACACAAATGAAGATTACACATACTGTTTATATAGAAATCCTAACTACTTTAACCAAAGACTAACTACCTAACTATATTACATTTTTACCCTTAATATTTTTCTTGTCACAAACTGACACATTTTTTATTTTTTTATTTTTTAATATTTCAGGTATTTGAATCCGAAACCCGAAATATCGTCTTTCAAGGAGGCAAGCTTTGGGCATGGGCAATTGGTTGTAGTGAATGCAACCCATGAACAGTGGACATGGCATCGGAATGAAGATAGTGAAACAAATGCAAGCGATTCCATTTGGCTCACAAGCCGCTCGTCCGATCCTGCTTGTAACAAGTAAACTTGTAATTAATTAAATAAGATAAAAAGTATATGTGTTTAGGGTTGAATCGTTATATTATTCTTCTCTCTAGAAGGCATATATATAAGTGTACAAGACGTCCTATAAGTTAGGGAACAAGAATCCCAAATATAGAATGAATCAATCATGTAATCCTATTTTGATTACATTCCTAAAACATATGTTGACTCACGCCAACACGGTGCGTAAATATCACCAAAGCCTAACTTGTCGAGTGAGTCTTGAAAAACTGTAAATATCATCTAAGCCTAACTTGTCGAGCGAGTCTTGAAAAATTTTCACTGACAATGCATGAGTTAACACATCAGCTAACTGTTCTTCAGACCTTACATATAGAATGTCAATCAGCTTAACATCCAATTTCTCTTTGATAAAATGTCTTTCCACTTCCACATTATGTACGATCATGTTGGATTGAAATATTGGCTATATCTTTCGCTGCTTGATTATCACATTATAACAACATAAACTCCCGAGGCTTAAATCCTATTTCAGTCAGAAGAATCTGGATCCATAATAATTCAAATCCCATGTGCCATACCTTGATATTCTACCTCGGCTGTGGACCTGGCCACCACATTTTTTTTACTTCTCTAAGTTACGAGATTTCCTGCCACAAATGTAAAGTAGCCT